GTTATAAAGCAGAAACTAACACACCATTGTAAAGCAATTATACTCCAATAAAAACGTTAAAAAAAAAAGAAAGAAAAGTCCATGCGCCTATGTTCTTGAAAAGATAAAATTGACAAACCTTTAGCTAGAGTCACGAAGAAAATAAGAGAGAAGGCTCAAATAAATAAAATCAGAAATGAAAGAGAAGTTCATTTCTCTTACAACAGATACCATAGAAATACAAAGAATCATGAGACTACTATGAACAGCTATACGCCAACAAATTGGACAGTCTAGAAGAAATAGATAAATTCTTAGAAGCATACACCCTTCCAAGACTGAATCACGAAGAAATAAAAAATCTGAGTAGACCAATCACTAGTAAGGAGATTGAAACAGTAATCAAAAACATCTCCCCAAACAAAAGTTCAGGACCAAGAGGCTTCACTGGATGAAGCATTCAAAGATGTCATACCTAAACTTCTCAAACTCTTCCAAAAAACTGAAGAGGCTAGAACACTTCCTAATTAATTTGACGAGGGCAACATTACCCTGATACCAAAACCAGACAAAAAAAGGAAACTACGGGCCAATATCTCTGATGAACATAGATGCAAGAATCCTCAACAAAGTATTAACAAACCCAAACAACAGCACATTAAAAGGATCAAGTGGGATTTATTCCAGGGATGCAAGGAAGGTTCAACATCTGGAATCAATGTGATACACCATATCAACAAACTGAAGGATAAAAATCATATGATCATCTCATTAGATGCAAGAAAAACATCTGACAAGATTCAACATCCATTTGTGTTCAAAAAAAAAATCAATAAAATGGATATAGAAGGAATGTACCTCAACATAACAAAGGCCATCTATGACAAACCCACAGCTAATATACTCAGTGGTCAAGACCTGAAAGCTAGCCCTCTAAAATCAGGAACAAGACAAGGATGCCCACTCACCACTCTTACACTCGTAGTCAGCGTAGTATTGGAAGTCCTAGCCAGAGCAGATAGGCAAGAAAAAGAAATAAAATGCATCCAAATTGGAAAGGAAGAAGTAAAACTGTCACTATTTGCAGATGAAATTGGTTTTCTATTGATTTTACACATAGAAAATCCTAAAGACACTACTAAAGAACTGTTAGAAATAATAAACGAATACAGTGAAGTTGCAAAATAAATATACAAAAATCTATTGTGTTTTTATACACTAACAAACCAGCAGAAAGAGAATTAAGAAAATCTCATTTACAATTGCAACAAAAAGAATAAAATATCTAGGAATAAATTTAACCAAGGAGGAGAAAACCGTTACTGAAAATCATAAGACATTGTTTCAAGAAATTGAAGAAGACACAAAGAAATAGAAAACTATTCTGTGCTCATGGATTGGAGGTATTAACATTGTTAAAATGTCCATATACCTAAAGTAATCTACAGATTCAATATAATCCTTGTCAAAATCCCAGTGACATTTTTTACAGAAACAGAATAAAAAATTCTAAAATTTGTATGGAACCACAAAAGATCCTGAAAAGCAATCCTGAGGAAAAAAGAACAAAGCTGGGGTTATCATATTCCCTGATTTTTAATTATACTACAAAGCTATAGTTATCAAAACTGCAGAGCATTGGCATAAAAACAGACACACAGATCAATGGAACAGAACAGAACGGAGAGCCCTCCACACATACAGACAACTAATTAAGACAAAGGAGCCAAGAACATACAGTGGATAAAGGAAAGTTTCATCAATAAATGTGGTGGGAAAACTGGACAGCCACATGCAAAAGAATCAAACTAGACTGCCATTTTACATGGTACAGAAAAATTAACTTAAAGTGGATTAAAGATTTGAATATAAGACCTGAAACCATAAAACTCCTAGAAGAAAACATAGGTGGTACACTCTTTGACATCAGCCTTAGCAATATCTTTTTGAATGTGTCTCCTCAGCCAAGGGCAACAAAAGCAAAAATAAACAAGTGGGACCACATCACACTAAAAAGCTTCTGCACAGCAAAGGAAACCATCAACAAATCAAAAAGGCAACCTACTGAATAGAAGAAGATATTTGTAAGTCACATATCCTACAAAAGGTTAATATCCAAAATATTAAAAACTCATACAACTGGGGCTTCCCTGGTGGCGCAGTGGTTGAGAGTCCGCCTGCCGATGCAGGGGACACGGGTTTGTGCCCCGGTCCGGGAAGATGCCACATGCCGCGGAGCGGCTGGGCCCGTGAGCCGTGGCCGCTGAGCCTGCGTGTCCGGAGCCTGTGCTCCGCAATGGGAGAGGCCACAACAGTGAGAGGCCTGCGTACTGCAAAAAAAAAAAAAAAAAAAAAAAACTCATACAACTCAACAACAAAAAACCCCCAAACAATATAACTGAAAAAATGGGCAGAGGAGATGATAGATATTTTTTCCAAGGAAGACATACAGATGACCAACGGACACATGGAAAGATGTTCAACATCACTAATTATTAGGGAATTGCAAATCAAAACCACAATGAGATATCACTTCATACTTGTTAGAACAGCTATTATAAAAAACAGAAACAAGAAATAACAAAGAGTTGGAGAGTATGAGGAGAAAAGGGAACCCTTGCAGACTGTTGGTGAGAATGTAAACTGGTGCAGTAACTATGGAAAACAGTAGGGAGATCCTTAAACGATTAAGACTAGAACTACCATATGATCCAGCTATTCCACTTCTGAGTATCTATCCAAAGAATATGAAAACACTAATTTGAAAAGATATATGCACTGCAGTAATATTTACAATAGCCAAGGTATGGAAATAACCTAAGTGCCCATCAATGGATAAACGGATAAAGAAGATGTGATACACACACACACACACACACACACACACACACACAATGGAATACTACTCAGCCATAAAAAGATGAACTCTTGCCATTTGTGACAACATGGATGGACCTTGAGGCTATTATGGTAAGTGAAATAAGTCAAATGGAGAAAGACAAATACTGTATGATTTCACTCATATGTGGAATATAAGAAATAAATGAACATAAACATATATCCCCATATCTCCTCCCTCTTGCATCTCCCTCCCACCCTCCTTATCCCACCCCTCTAGGTGGGCACAAAGCATGGAGCTGATCTCCCTGTGCTATGTGGCTGCTTCCCACTAGCTATCTATTTTACATTTGGTAGTGTATATATGTCCGTGCCACTCTCTCACTTCGTCCCAGCTTCTGATTCACTTTGTTATACAGCAGAAACTAACACACCACTGTAAAACAATTATACTCCAATAAAGATGTTAAAAACCAAAAAGATACATGTACCCCTATGTTGATAGCAGCACTGTTCACAATAGCAAAAACATGGAAACAACCTAAATGTCCATCAACAGATGAATGGATAAAGATGTGGTACATATATACAATGGAATACTACTCAATCATAAAAAAGAACAAAATAAGGCCATTTGTAGCAACATGGATGCAACATGAGATTACCATACTAAGTGAAGTAAGTCAGAAAGAGAAAGACAAACATCATATGATATCACTTATATGTGGGACCTAAAATAAGGCACAAATGCACCTATCAACAAAACAGAAGCAGACTCCTAGACATAGAGAACAGACTTGTGGTTGCCAAGGCAGGGGGAGAGGGGAGGGAGAGGGATGGACTGGGAGTTTGGGGCTGGTAGATGCAAACTACTACATTTAGAATGGATGAACAGCAAGGTCCTACTGTAGAGCACAGGGAACTATATTCCATAACCTGTGATAAACCATAATGGAAAAGAATATAAAAAAGAATATGTATGTATGTATAACTGAGTCTCTTTGCTGTACAGTAGAGATTGGCACAGCATTGTAAATCAACTATACTCCAATAAAAAAATTTAAGAAAAAAAGAAAGAAATGAACAAACGAAACAAAAACGAACAGATAGTTACAGAGAACAGATTGGTGGTTACCAGAGCGGAAAGGGGGCACAAAATGGGGAAAAGGGATCAATTGTATGGTGACGGAGGGAAACAAGACTTCTGGTGGTGAGCTCGCTGTAGGGTATACAGAAGTTGAATTATGATGTTGTATACATGAAACTTATGTTATAAACCAATGTTACCTTGAAAAAAAGGTCCATTCACCTATGAAATGACTATCAGGTTTTCCCCAAGGTTGTCCTGTGATCTACACAGGGACCACAGGGTGTCTCTCTGTCTACTGGATAATCTTAACATCCACAGTTCCTACATCTCACTTACCTCCAACCTTAAGGTCTCCACTTCCAGCTGTAATTCACGACAACAATGTCACTTGACATTGCAGCTATCGATGGGATAGTAAACACAAATTATGTTTGATTATTGCCTAACAGAATGGAAAAGAGGAGGGCTTCTTGGAGAAGGGGACAACTTCCACCTCTCTACTTAAACACTGCTTTGAATTTATTAGCAAATTTCTAGTTTACGGTACAAAGTATCAAGCCACAAATCAGATTTCTATGAAACGCTGCAACAGGCTACAGAAACACCATAAAGTAGCTACCAACATCCCATTTGGTTCTCTCTCACTGAAAAGAAACTCTAGTAATTAAACTTTGAGCAATGTAGAAATGAGTAAATATGATTATTTTTAATCAGAAAAAGATGATCCCCAAAAACAAACTCATATCTTGGTTTCTTTTAACATGAAAAGCTCTCAGAATATATATACTTTGCCAAAAATCGAAACTATAACTGAAACAGAAATCTGTTTTCTAATAAGAAGCAAGAGAAGTTCAAAAGAATATGGAAAATGGTTTAAACATTTTTTACCAATAGGCAATCAGATATGATGGATGAGTTCATTACAAAGATTCTCACTTGGATGTCTTCTAATTTTAAACTCAAGTAATGTTTTTTAGTTTTCCCTTTGGATTATACAAATCACAAGCCCAAAGCCATGAGAGAATTCTCTAGCAGTCTTAGGGTGAGGTGTTAGGCATGCTTCGAAACGTAATGAAGAAGTAAGAAGTCATACCTTGAAATCATATGTGGCATCTGGGTTTTCGTCACAGGCAATAACTTCTGGAGCCATCCAGTAGGGCGTCCCGATGAAGGTATTCCTCCTGCCCACTGTTCGATCGAGCTGGGCACTGACTCCAAAGTCCACTAGTTAAGGGAAGACAAATGAATAAAGTCTATCATCTAAGGTCTTACACAGTGATAAAATGAATGTGTATTTTTTTTTACTGGGGTAAAATATACATAACATAAAATTTACTATTTCAACAACTTTCTAGTGGACCGTTTTGTGGTATTAAGTACATTCACATTGTTGTGCAACTATAACCACCATCCAACTCCAGAACTTTTTCATCCTCCTCAATTGAAACTCTGTAGCCATTAAACATTAACTTCTCTTTCTCCTCCCCTCCCCACCCCGCCGGGCCCCCCGCCCCCGGAAAGCACCATTCTACTTTATGTCTCTATGGATCTGACTACTACAGATACATCATATAAGTGGAATCGTACAGTATCAGTCTTTTGGAGACTAGATTATTTCACCTAACATAATATCCTCAAGGTTAATGCAAGTTGCAGCTCGCATCAGAATCTCCTTCTGAATTTTTGAAGACCGAATAATAGTCTATTGCATGTAGGTGCCACATTTTGTTTATCCATTCATCTGTTGGACACTCAGGCTGCTTCTTCCTTTTCACTATTGTGACTGTATATATTTTTTTAAGAGTTTTTATTTTATATTGGAGTATAGTTGATTTACAGTGTTGTGTTAGCTTCAGGTGTACAGCAAAGTGATTCAGTTATACATATATCTATTCTTTTTCAGATTTTTTTCCCGTATAGGTTATTACAGAGTATTGAGTAGAGTTCCTTGTGCTATACAGTAGGTCCTTGCTGATTATCTATTTTATATGTAGTAATGTGTATATGTTAATCCCAACCTCTTAATTTATCTGTCCCCCCAACCTTTCCCCTTTGATAACCATAAGTTTTTTCCTATGTCTGTGAGTCTGTTTCTGTTTTGCAAATAAGTTCATTTGTATCATGTTTTTAGATTCCACATATAAGTGATATCATACGATATTTGTCCTTCTCTGTCTGACTTACTTCAGTTAGTATGATAATCTCTAGTGAATGTATACTTTTAAACTTCATGTATAAATGGATAAAGCGTACCAATGAGAGAAGCACAGGGGGTTGTATCTGGTTACATCAGGGCTACATGGGGGGCCAAAAAGAGGTGTTAAATAAAAGTCAAGCTTAGGCCATAAAGGATAGTATTTAGAGGATGCAAAGAAAATAGTTAACAGCTAAGTTTCTGGAGTCAGACTGCCTAAATCTGCATCTCATTTCTGACACTTATTAGTGATGCAACCTAGGGCTACTAGATCAACCTCTTTGAGCTTTCATTTTCCAAACCCATAAAATGAGGATGATGAGATTCACATGGTGTTGCTCTGATGTTTAAGTGAAATCATCTACCTAAAAGCATTTTGTACAGGACCTGGCATATAATATTCTCTCAACAAGTAACTGTTAATTAGTGATGAGTGAATATTCTGAGGATAGCTTATGTAGTCAGTACATATA